TGGAGTTTGAGAACCAGCCTGGACCAACATGGTGGGAACCCCGTCTCTACTAAAAATACCAAAACAATTAGCCGGGCGTGGGTGGGCAATTGCCTGTTAATTCCCAAAGGTACTCAGAGGGCTGAGGCACGAGAATCGCTTTTCATGCCGGGGGAGGCGGAGGTTGCAGTGAAGCCGAAGATCACACCACGCTGCACTCTACGCCGTGGGTGGCAGAGGCAAGACTCCGTCTCAAAAAAAAAAAAAAAAAAAAAAAGGTTCCACCACTCCAAACATTGCTCACTGCTTTACCACTGGCATCAGGAAATCTGCCATTTCTTTTCCTCTTCTAATTAGTCTTCTTGGATTGGCCTAGTGTTCATTTCTTTTTTGGCAATGTAATGGTTAGAGAAGCAGCTAGATACGCAGGGTTCTCATCAAGTCCCAAGGCCGGTGACGTGGGAGAAAACTGATCAAATCACAGCAAGGGCAAAGGTCGGGCCATATAAATAAGCAATCAAAACTGGGCCAGGCAATTGTAGCTTCCACGCCTGAATTTTTTTTTTTTTTTGAGATGAAGTTCCACTCTTGTCCAGGCTGGAATGCAATGGCATGATCTTGGCTCATTGCAACCTCTGCCTCCTGGGTTCAAGCGATCTTCCTACCTCAGCCTCTCAAGTAGCTAGGATTACAGGCATGTGCCACCATGTCTGGTTAATTTTGCATTTTTAGTAGAGATGGGATTTCACCATGTTGGCTAGGCTGGTCTCGAACTCCTGACTTCAGGTAATCCACCTGCCTTGGCCTCTCAAAGTGCTGGGATTACAGGTGTGAGCCACCGCACCTGATGGAGGTTCTTATTTCAAAGTAACACTCCAGTCAGGAATTCCCCCTACTGATCATCTAAATATTTTATGTATATTTTAAATGCACGCATTAAAAATTGATGTATTCTAGGATAAATGCAAGCTGCTGTATACGTGATGCTGTACAGTCTATACAACTTAAACATGGAGCTTACAAGTCATCAGTTTCCTGAACACCAGAGTATTCCTGTTCCCTTATATATAACTAGGCAGAATATTGGTTTTTTCAGGTTTTTGGAGTTCTGTTTCTTTTTGTCAGAGAATGATAAAACATGATCTAGAAATCTATCTCTTTTAAGATTAATTTGCAAAAAGCGCCATAGACACAATACCTGTGAGTGCTTTCCCTTTTTTCCTATAGCAAACGCCAAAGATGATGGCAGCCACTAGGGCCACAGACGTGAAAAGAAGCAGAATTATTAAACCGGGCAAGTAAACCTGGGGTTCTGTATTGAAAGAAAATGAGAAATATGGTATTAAAGATTCTTTAATTTTACGCAGTTGAAAAACAAATCCTGGTAAATCAAACCTCAGAATGAGGTTTGGGATAGCAGAAGTGAGAGTCCCCACCCCTGGCTGCCCTTTGTCCACGAGTGCTCACATTCTGAAGGGTGAGATCCACAACCTTAGCCAGCCTGGCTCAGTCCGGTTTCACTCTACGGGAGAGCAGCCCAGGGCCACTGCGGTGTTTCTACCTTAGAACATCTCTAATCACGCTCACCACACCACCCAGTCTCATTCTGGCTAACCTCCAGAACCCTTCAGTATCCCCAGATGAATGACCTCCGCAGACAAAAGGAGTTTCTTCTATCTCTTTCCTAATAGCAACAGGGCACCAGGGCTTTGCCGGTCATGAGAACAGAACCACAGCCATCCTGTGAAATATTTCTGGAATTTTCATCCCCAACACCATGTGGACCCAACCGTTTTCTTCATCCCTCCCTGATCACTTCATTGCTAGAATCCTTGTTAAAAACTCTTGATTTACTTGACCTGGTTTCCTGGACTCCTACTTTTCCTCTCCTTCTCTTTTTTAAAATAACTTTTTATTCCTTCAGTTATATTTAATGATATCTGCAAAATGGTCTTTAAAAAGTTTGTTCTGATTGTGTAACTCCACATCCAGAATGCTTTAATGTCTTCCTGTTTCCCAAAATGTCAAGGCCAAACCCCTGATTTCTTGGTCAAAGCCTGTTAACCCGGTTATTCTGTGGCCTATTGTTCTCTTTCCTCATCCGAAAGGTCTCCTTGCCACTGAAGCCATCTCTTCCGATATCTGGACCCGCATCTCCACACTGTCCTGTTCACCAAGTAACCAGCCTCCACCATCAACTTTCTGGCAATCTGAAACTCTACTTAAGACTAATTTAATGTGGCCATGTGCAGCAGCTCACTCCTGTAATCCTAGCACTTTGGGAGGCCAAGGCGGGCGGATTACCTGAGGCCAGGAGTTTGAGACCAGCCTGGCCAACATTGTGAAACCCCGTCTCTACTAAAAATACAAAAATTAGCTGGGCATGGTGGTGTGTGTCTGTAATCCCAGCTACTCAGGAGGCTGAGGCAGGAGAATCTCTTGAACTTATGAGTTGGAGGTTGCAGTGAGCCGTTATCACGCCACTGCACTCCAGCCTGGGTGACGGAGCAAGACTCCGTCTAAAAAAAAAAAAAAAAAAAATTAATTTAATCTGCAACATGTTCCATAGATGATGGCAAGATCCTAACAATTTTAGGAGATGACCAAAATCTCCTCATAGACACTTGTGACCACCATCATCCCACCATGTCTGAGTATTTTATGTTTGCAGCTCTATTTTCTTTTTATGCATATTAAAACATGATTAGTTACCCCCAATCCAGTGTAGAAAATTGTCAAGGAAACAACATACCTGGAGTTAAACTACTGATTAAAATGAAACATTGAGCTGACTGTGCACAGGAGGAAACAACGGGGGAGAGGATGCCTGCAGATCCATGTGCCATCTGGGAAGATCTAAACGATCTAACTACCCCGGGGCACATCTATCAACCGACAGGCTCGTTTTAAACATACCATTTGGTGGTTTTCTAGATGGCAGAGAAGAACTGCAAACCACATCGGATTTCTCCGTCCCATGATGTTCTACCGTCTTTCCAAGGGAGGTACAGCTGTGGCGGGGCGGGGTGGGGGGGTGGAAGGCAGTTCAGTGCTTTGGTTTTATATGCTTGTTTTTTGAAAAATGAACAAATGCAAGGCTCTCCCAGATGGCCAGCTCCTTCAGGAGAGGAACCCATGCCTTCCTGGACATTTGAATCCTCCGTGCCTTCTACAGGGAGGAGAACATCACAAGGTGGGACAAAGAAATAAGCAAAAGCAAACGCTGCCTGTGTTCTCTGACAGCTACTCTGAGAGTGTGGTCAGCAAAGCAGCAGAGCAGAGTCTTCAGGAAAGAATATTCTGGCCGTGCCCGGTGGCTCAGGCCTATCATCCTAGCACTTTGGAAGGCTGAAGCAAGAAGATTGCTTGAGCCCAGGAATAAGAGACTAGCCTGGGCAACACAGTGAAACCCTGTCTCTACAAAAAATTTAAAAATTAGCTGGGTGTGATGTACGTGCCTGGGGTCTCAGCTACTGGGGAGGCAAAGGCAGGAGGACTGCTTGAGCCTAGGAGGTTGAAGCTGCAGGAAGCCATGTTTGTACCACTGCACTTCAGCCTGGGCAACAGAGCAAGATCATGTCTCAAGAAAAAAAAAAGTATATTCCAATAGCTTCAATTACATGGTTAAGTGATATACTTTTGCTGATTGTTTTTTTTGAAAAACACAGAAAATCCTCTTGAACATAAAATTTGGATAAGTGAATCAGAAAATAAACATTTATTTATGTATTTTAATTTAATTTTCGTTGTTTAAAAATGTGAGATAGGGTCTTGGTATGTTGCCCAGGCTGTTCTCAAATTCCTGGGCTCAAGCAATCCTCCTGCCTCAGCCTCCTGAGTAGCTGGGATTACAGGCATGCACCACCACGCCTGGCAGAAAATAAACATTTCATAAGGAATATACAGGGAACTGAAAGAATCATTACATTGATTATTAGTATTCAACAACAAGCATGAGATGAAAGCACCCATGAATTCCACTATAGATACACTCACATACGTGAGAAATCATACATAGATGAGATTCTTCATCACAAAATTATGTATTACTGTAAAAGACTGGGAACAACCTAAGTGACTATCAATAAAGAACTTATTACATAACTTACACTTCTTCTCTACAATGAAATACTATGCAGCTGTGAAAAGCCACGAAAATCATGAACTGGTGAACTAATATAGAAAAAGCTTCAGCATATAATATGTGGAAAAAAAAAACCCAAGATGTTTACAGCGTGCAAACATTTATATAAACAGGAGGCTTCTATATGTGTGCACACACACACACATACACACACACAAATATCTGGATGAATAAATCAGTGATGTTGGGAAGTTGGGAGAAGTAGGCATGACCACTGAATAAATGTTATAAATCATTTTCAACCAAACAAGGTTAGAAAAAGCTGCAACCATAAGTCACAGATTACCAAATCTAAAAAGTCACACGAAGTTCCTGTCACACACAGGGCTGAAGAATTAGTTTGACTGGTTTATTTCCCCCATGTTGAACTGACAGACTTTTTCCATTTTGAATGTGGCTTCAAGAGGAAGCCTAACCCAATAGAATCCGTCCGTTTTCAACCCAGACGAGACAGTGGAGGTTGAGTTGTTTAAAAACCAACCATCTCTTCTGACTCCTTTGTTGTTACTTACTTGGTCCAGGGTCTGCATTTGTCCGTGGAGGAGAAGGCGTCTGAGAAGTAGCCTGCAAGGCAAGGTTTGCACACCGTGTCCTTGTTGAGCTGCACTGTGAAAAAAAAACAAAAAAGAAAAACCCAGACAGAACAAACACAGAACAAACGAGGTCACTTAGAGATCATCCAGGCTGAGACCCCAGAGGACTGGAGGTGAGGCGCTGTCCCTGTCTGCTCTCACCTCCCACCCCTGTGCCTACCCCGTGTCTGATTCCTTCAGCTCCCACAGGCTTGGGCCCACAAAGCAGTTCTGACCCCAGCAGTGAGTTACAGAACCACGCTCGGAAAGGTAACTGGCTCGATGTCGGACCACTAACACTCATCTGTGATGTCCAGGTCAGGCTAGCTCTGGTCCGGACCACTAACACTCTTCTGTGATGTCCAGGTCAGGCCAGCTCTGGTCCTGACCTTTTGTGGTTCAGAGTCACTTCCCTGGTCACCAACACTTTGTTTCCTAGTCTGGGAGCCGGTGTTGACTGCTCCTGCTATCTGCCTCTTGTTTTTCCCTACGCACCTATGTACCTACGTACCTGTTCAAATCAAACATTAATTTGAACAGCTTTTTTTTCCTTCTTTTCTTTTGAGACAGAGTCTCGCTCTGTCGCCCAGGCTGGAGTGCAGTGGCCTGATCTCAGCTCACTGCAAGCTCCGCCTCCCGGGTTCACCCCATTCTCCTGCCTCAGCCTCCCGAGTAGCTGGGACCACAGGTGCTAGCCCAGCCTTTGTCTGCAAGGAATGGCAGACCCATTACTACTTTGAAGGGAAACTCACTGTCCCGACCTCTTCTGATGAGCTTAATCTCCTCAGTCCAAGTATCAGAGTCTCAGTTTAAAAAAGAAGACAAGGAAGAACCCTACAGGTCTCTTTCCCTGCCACCAAGGGTTGGTATCAAACATTTTCTATAAAGGGTCATACAGTAAGTATCTTAGGCTTTGTAGGCCTGTGGTCTCTGCTGCAGCTACTCATAGCATGAAAGCAGTCCAACAATACACTAAAAACAATGGAGAAGGGTGTGTTCCAATAAAACTTTACTGATAAACACAGTGGCACAATGGATGTTAGATTCCTTCCTTAATGGACAGCATTGAAAGCAGGAGTTGATCCTGGTTAGTAAACTGACTTGACTCTCATATTCCTCATGAACTACACTGTCAAAATAAATGTCTCAGGTTTCCTATGCCTATTCCCTCTACTGCAATCCACGCATGATGATTCTTCGGTAAGTCCCAGGAAGAACACTGGCTGCGATGTGATATCATAATCAGGCAACTGGCTGGTGCCCAAGCCACAAATGACTCCTGAAATTAGTAGCACTTCTGTGATTTTCTTTCACGAATAAAACACTAAAAAAAGGAATTAAATTTTCTTTGTCCAAAGTCAAGTACAAAGTATATTCTTGATTTCTGCAATTTGGCTGGCTAAGTAGGGTACCTGCTCCTGCATCTAGCAATTTGATTTGCCTTGAAATCTAATAACTCACATGAATTTGAACAGGTTTTTTTTTTTTTTTTGAAGACATAGTCTCGCTCTGTCACCCAGGCTGGAGTGCAGTGGCGCAATCTCCGCTCACTGTCAGTTCTGCCTCCCAGGTTCACACCATTCTCCTGCCTCAGCCTCCTGAGTAGCTGGGACTACAGGCGCCCGCCACCGCGCCCGGCTAATTTTTTGTAGTTTTTTAGTAGAGACGGGGTTTCACCGTGTTAGCCAGGATGGTCTTGATCTCCTGACCTCGTGATCCGCCCGCCTCGGCCTCCCAAAGTGCTGGGATTACAGGCATGAGCCACCGCGCCCGGCCAATTTGAACAGCTTTTTAAAAGAGAAGCACAATCTAGAGTTGTGAGAAGCTCTCAAAATCTAAGATGTGGGGGCTAACAGGCATGCAAAGGGTTAAGGGTGCTAATTTCCATAGCTTGACTTCCATATGACTCTTAGTAACACTGACCTGCCAGAAGCATCCTGCAGGCTCCTTTCCTTGCTCCCTTTCCTAATCACACTTTTCCCACTTTACAAAAGGCACACTTCTTACCCACCCCAGAGTTTGCTGCTATGCTGCCAAACCTCTGAGATGTCGAACTAAGTGACAAGTGGAAACACTGGTGATGGCAGAGCTCCCGCGCCCCCCGGCACACCTCCCACCTTTCCCGCTCTATCAAGGGCAAAAGCAGGATGACAGAAATGGGGCAGCTGCGATCAGGCTGAGTTGTTCTGAACTGAAATTAAGCAGGGTGGGGCAGGAGTGAAATTTCCATTCATCTACCCCTTCCCCTCTATCCTCCACCTATTTTGTCCCAAAATGAACCCATTTCCAAAGGTACAAGGCACAGAGAACGTCTAATAGAACCCCTGATGTGACATGCTGGTGAAAACCTGGAGGAAAGGCTCTGGGTCGCTTCTATTTTAGAATCAGAATTCAGAGGGAGTTGGCTGTGATAGGGAGATCTATTTTAACAATTAAAAAATCAAGTTAGACTTTTTGTAACAGAAAGTACATCTGGTTTAGTCAATGCATTTGATAATAAAGACCGAGTGTGTCAGTTAGACTCTGTGATGGACATTATCCTTGATATGAATTGAAATGGATAGTATTTTAATTCTCCCAACCCTGTCCAAGTATTTTGGGTTAAAACCAGGTGCCTCTAAGGGAATGGTTAATAGGCATAATCATTTTTTAAGTCTTGGAAAAAACTGCTTTTGTTATACTTCCTAGAACTCAGGAAAGCAAATGACTCTAAGAAATACTTTTTCAACTCAAAAGAATTTCTATTTCTTTACTTTCAACAAAATTGGAGGACACAATTGAATTATCAACTGATAGATCATTAAAAATAACTTCTGATATCACATCAGTAGGTGAGCTTGGACACATAAATCAGAAGGTACTGAAAAAAATTGAGGGACACGCCTATAACCAAAGTGTTTCCTTTGCCATTCAGTTATTTATGTGAACAAATTTCTCAGCACTTACATACATAAAAAAAAGTAGAAACAAAATTGATGTTGAATGCTGTTGCATTTTAGCAATAAGTAATATTCAGCCATAAATATATGAATTGGAAAAAAAAATCCCACTCATTATGGAGGTCGGAGGTTTTTACTTTTATGATTATAATACAGCAAAATAGGATATATTCATTTTTGACCAATTGTGTAATAGTAAAGGTAGTGACAACTTGGTCCAGAAGAAATGCTTTTAGTCCCAGATCAAAGTAAATATTTAAAAATTAAGATTTCAGCCGAGTGTGGTGGCTCACGCCTATAATCCCAGCACTTTCGAAGGCTGAGGCAGGCAGATCACCTGAGGTCGGGAGTTTGAGACCAGCCTGACCAACATGGAGAAATCTGGCCTCTACTAAAAATACAAAATTAGCCAGACATGGTGGAGCATGACTGTAATCCCAGTTATTCAGGAGGCTGAGGCAGGAGAATTGCTTGAACCTGGGAGGCAGAGGTTGCAGTGAGCTGAGATCGTACCATTGCACTCCAGCCTGGGCAACAAGAGTGAAACTCCATTTCAAAAAAAAAGATAGGTGCATATTTTTCAATAGGTGCATATTTGAATATGAAAACGTGATTAGTAAAACCCCTCCAAGGATAAAAAATATATCAGGATAAAATTCTGTGGAGAAGGCGGAATGGATAGGAAACAAAAGGAGAGAAAGGAATTATGTAAACTGTCAAATAGTTAAATATGATTAGTGCATTTAAAAATGAATCATAGTGGGCATCAAATGGCCATGGTGTTTACATTCCACTGGATTCGTTTCTTCAGTGTTATCGCAGTTACAATTCCCTGGTACCTAAGTCCTTATCAGTTCTTTAAACTTGTAACAAAAATTTTTAGATGTCAACTTAAAAACGTGCTGGGGTGGGGGATGCATGGTTTTGCCAAAATTCTAATGGGCACACACTCTTTAAAAATGTCCAACCGCCCCTGCACTACCCTGCTGGCTCCTAAGTAGGGATCCTAGGTTTCTACAGATGGAGGAGCCCCAGCGCCCCCTGGCCACGGCCAGAGCATGTGGGCAAATTGCCCGCAGTCCCTTTGAAGAACCTAAGCGGAGGATTCATTCTCAGGTCTTGCCTGGGCCTGCATCTCGTGGAAAATCAGCCCCCACCTTTCCCCATCCCTCGGGTTCCTCCAATGCTGCCTAGCACCCTGGAGCTTTCTTGCTGCTATTATCAAGACTGTCTCAAAGCTGGCTTTGCATGGCTCAGCAAGAGCCGACAGACGCACACATCCAACCCGTACACGGGTGCTGGGCGCCCAGGCCCGGCGCGCACTCGGTGTTGCGGCGGCAGCACTCGCAGTCCTGGCTCCAGTGGTACCCAGCCGTGCAGGCGCAGCGCCGGGGGGCCGTGCTGTTGCCGGCGTCCACGGCCACCAGGGCCTTGCCTGTGGGAGACAAGAGATAGGTCATTAGACAGGGAGGGGCAGCCAGCCCAGACACACCGCCCACGACTGCACTATCCAACATCCAGCCCAGAACAGGCCAGACCAGCAGGCCTGCAGAGTGAATCACCAGGGCACTGCTCGAGAAGTCCCAAGTTCCTCCTCGCACTTCCTGCACTGGCACGAAAACGTCACGGGGGGTTCTTCTCGCTCTCATAATTAAGAGTTTTGTGGGCTTTTTTTAAAAGTCAATTTTCATGTTAGTAGGAAGATAAGGACTTGGGAATTGATGATCATTGAATGTTCTGGCAGATGCAGAAGGGTCACAGAGCTGAGCTTCCTCATTTTTCTAAGTTCAAATACCACATACATAAGACTCACGCGAGTTTGGACCTTAGAGAATAAGGCTTCTGGAGGTTTAGGATTCATCTTAGGATCCTGAGGCATCCCAGGGTGAAAACGGGCTGTTGTGGAGTTACATGAGTGGAGAGGGCACAGAGGCAGGCCCAGTGACGTGCTTAGAGGCAAACTCTCCTCAAGCACTCAGGATAACATGTTTGTCTCTGTTTTCACAACACATGGCCTTCTGGTTCCAAATCTCCTGGCCCCTTCCAGTTTTTCTGGAATGCAGGTATGTATGGTTTTTCCAAAACCATGGGAATTGATCTGTTGTAAACACTACACACACACACACACACACACACACACACACACACGTATCTGTTATAAACTACATACACACACACGTATCTGTTATAAACTACATACACACACAAATAGGAATCAAAGTATGGATCAATCAACAGTCCTCATTATTTGCAGATTCATATTTGTGAATTCACCTACTCAATGAAATTTACTTGCACCCCAAAATCAATCCTCTTGGTAATCCTGCAGTCCTTCAGGGACAGAACTGTGTACATTTCGAGTTGCTCCACACTCAGGTTTCTGGCTGAGGTTGGGCCAGGCGATGCTCTGCCTTCTTGTTTCAGCTCACAGAAGGTAAACAAGCGTTTTGTTGGTGATTTCCCTGCTTATAACAGCCCCCAACTGCCGTGCCGAAGAGCTGTCTAGTGTTCTAAGTGCAAGAAGGCTGTGGTGTGCCTTACGGAGAAAATAACTGTTAGAGAAGCTTCGCTCAGGCATGAATGACAGTGCTGTTGGTCATGAGTGCAATGTTAATGAATCAACAACATGTATCAAATAAGGTGTCTTTAAACAGAAACACACATGAAACAAGGTTATGTGGTGATCAGTCTGTGACGGTGTGACTGGAGGCTTGCAAGAACCTCACCCTGTAGTCCACTAGGACTAATGGCTCAGGATCTGCTAATTCAGCATTCCTGGTGACTTTATAGAACACAGCTACCGTGCATAACCAGAGTCAACTGCACCTATGTGCATGACCCCGCCCCCCAACATGATACAAACCAATAACATGATTTCAAACAGACCTTGTACCCTTCCAGGGCTCCTTCTCACCTGGATTGTCCAAACAGCCCCTGCACCTTATATTCCTGAACACTTACAGGAATTCCAAGGGAAAAACAAGCAAACAAACCAGAAACCCTCTGTCTCTTATTGTCTCAAGTTACAGCCCGTAGGGAGGGGACATTTCCTATTTCCAATCTTTATAGACCCGAGCTTAGTGACCCTGGAGGAGTCCCCCCATCTCCTGCAGTGCCCACTCTTCCAAGGCCCCAGTCAGCTCTGCAACATCAAGGTCCATACTCAGAAACATGTCCACAATGCATGGGAACGTCCACAGACACATGCCACTTCTCTGGAAAATTCCAGCTACTCCTAGGATCCCATCTGAATGTAAGCCTGGGTTGTGATGAATAATTTTGACATAATTTAAAGTATTGTATGTAATGTACCAGATTTTTGGCTTTAATCAACTTTGGCAGTAGACTGAATGAATCTTTATTTCCAAGAGACAGCAATGAGTCAAGGTCATTACTAAGCAGTAGGAAATTAAAAAGGCTTGATCAGATGCTTCTGCTCAGTGGAGTTTCCATGTTACCTTCCCCAGCCAAAATCTGCCAGCTGTCTCCAGCATATTAGAAAAATTGTGGTGTTCAAAGAAACACTTATTCTCTAATTCTGTCCACTGGGGAAAAAACTTCTATACACAAGGATCAATCCAGTAGTGAGTCTTCTCTAGAATCCAGACTGAGGTCACTATATACAATGTTCCTCTAAAAACAATCAGGAATCCTTAGAGAAACATCTGATTATAGTTTAAGACAAGAATTATGCAAGCTAAGCATGGAAGCAATAGATGCCTGGGCTGTATCAAAACACCTGGGGCCACCTCATTGAAGTGTGACAATCTAAGCACCATTACAACCAGTTACTGCAGGCTGGGGACCGTGGCTCACACCTGTAATCCCAGCACTTTGGGAGGCCTAAGCAGAGGGATCACTTGAGGTCAGGAGTTCAGGAAGAGCCTGGCCACACAATGAAATGCCCTCTCTACTAAAAAATACAAATGTTATCAGGGCATGGTGGCACATGCCTGTCATCCCAGCTACTTGGGAGGCCAAGGCAGGAGAATCGTTTGAACCTGGGAGGCCAAGGTTGCCGTGGGCCAAAATTGTGCCACTGCACTCCAGCCTGGGCGACAGAGCAAGACTCAAAAACAATCAAACAAACAAACAAACAATAACTGCAAAAGACTGAAACTGAAACACCTCAAATACCTCCATAATATAAGTCCTTGGGAGAATGCTGGATGATTAAGATATTGTTTTGCAAAGTGATAAATAAGGTTAAAAGCATTTATTCTATCTTTTCTGTATGTGCTGCACTGCAGGATAAATCCTTGTAACTGTATCAATAAATAGTTGATGAGGGAAGTTTATCTTCATAAAGTATGCCAGCTAATAAATGAAAAAGAAATGAGAGAATCAGAACATCACCTTTCTGCAGCCCCTAATGGAAACAAATCTAAACCATGATCATCAGCAGCTGCTAATGTTAGAAAGAGGAAGGCTCAGCTATTACATGGTTCCAGTATTCTATGTATGAACTATATTATATTATATATGAAGTTTGCCACAAACAAAACAAAAAACAAAGCAGCATCTGACCGGCCTTCTAGATCTAACAACCAATTTATAAGACATTGATCTAACAACCAATTTATAAGAAGGGGTCAGGCCTGTAATCCCAGCACTTTGGAAGGCCGAGGTGGATGCATCACTTGAGGTCAGGAGTTTGAGACCAGCCTGGCCAACACAGCAAAACCTCATCTCTACTAAAAATACAAAAATTAGCCAGGCATGGTGGCACATGCCTGTAATCCCAGCTACTGGGGAGGCTGAGGCGGGAGAATAGCTTAAATCCAGGAGGGGATGGTTGCAGTGAGCCGAGATTGTGCCACTGCACTCCAGCCTGGGTGACAGAGAAAGACTCCATCTCAAAAAAAAAAAAAAAAAGAAAAGAAGAGAAATATAAGGGACAGAAGAATACATTAAATGATACCAAGGGAATGCAACCAACAAAATCTGGCCTGTGGAATCTCCACAGGACTAACGTCATGGCTTCTTCAACAAATGAGCTCAATGGAAAAAGGAAAGAAGAGAGAGAAAGGAACCTGTGTCTCTTAAGAGAATTAAGAGACGTGTTTTGCTCCTGATTCCTTCAAATAAACTATACTTTAAAAAACATTCCAGGCAAAAAACTTAAGGCAGTCTGGTAAGGAGATGAAACTGTGTTAATAAAATATTTATAGTTTAGGAAAAAGGTCAAGAGTAGACCTGGTTTTGAGTCCTGCTTCACATGTGTTAACCTTGGAGAAGTTATTCAACCTCTCTGAATCTGTTTCTCAATCTTTAAAGGGGATAGGCCGGGCGTGGTGGCTCACGCCTGTAATCCCAGCACTTTGGGAGGCCGAGGCGGGCTCATCATGAGGGCAGGATATTGAGACCATCCTGGCTAACACAGTGAAACCCGTCTCTACTAAAAGCACAAAAAATTAGCCGGGCATGGTGGGGGGCGCCTATAGTCCCAGCTACTCAGGAGGCTGAGGCAGGAGAATGGCGTGAACCTGGGAGGTGGAGCTTGCAGTGAGCTGAGATTGCGCCACTGGACTCCAGCCTGGGCAACAGAGCAAGACTCTGTCTCAAATAAATAAATAAATAAATAAAATAAAATAAAATAAAAGGGATAAGTATGGCTACCTACAGGGTTTGGAGGAGGATTAAACCACACAAAATAGGTGGGAACATTATGGAAACATTATGTCAAGTCTATGATGTGTCCCATGATTAAATGGCAACATAAATATATTCCAGAACAAATGTTCTAAAAGAAGAATTTTAACATTGGCCTTGGGGATTTAAAATGCATCTTTCTTGGGATCTGTAGTCACAACTTCCTTCCATGTTCCTGAAATGAAACATTATCGGTTGCCTCTAAAAATGTTTCTACAGAAAAAGAGGTCTGAGGTTTCTACACTTCACACTGACACGACAGGCTCACCTGTATCACAAACTTTATGCAGCAAGCATTTATCTTCCTCATTCCAGGTATCCAAGTATTCATCCGGGCCACAGGGCAGACATACACTGTCAGAGGTAGTAGTGCATTTAGAAGACATGTACTTTCCTTTAAAAAATAAAGGGGAAAAATACAACCATCAAAAACCCAAACCATAACAGCAACACAAAGCAAAACAGCAACAAAAATCGCACCCATCTATGGGACCAGTAACCACTGGTGCCCATGATCCCAGGACACCCCCCAAAGACGACATGACACAGGAGAAGAGGCCACAGTGCACAGTGACTGCAGCACCCTGGGCTCCTTGGGCCACACAGCTGGCTGAAATAACCCCACCTGGGTCTGCTGAGCCTGTGGTCACAGCAGTTTCTTAATTCTTCTTAAGTAAAAAGTCAACCACCCTCTGCACCCAGAAAGTCTGCTAAGGAACAGAATGATGGGCCAGGCACGGTGGCTCACACCTGTAATCCCAGCACTTCGGGAGGCGGATCACCTGAGGCCAGAAATTTGAGACTAGCCTGGCCAACATGGTGAAATCTCGTCTCTACTGAAAATACAAAAATCAGCTGGGCGTGGTGGCAGGTGACTGTAGTCCCAGCTACTTGGGAGGCTGAGGCAGGAGAATTGCTGCTGCCTCAACCTCTGGGAGACGGAGGTTGCAGTGAGCTGAAATCATGCCACTGCACTCCAGCCTGGGCAACACAGCAAGACACCGTCTCAAAAAGAAAAAGGGGAAAAAAAAAAAAAAAAGAATAGAACGATGATTTTAAACTGGGCCGCAGAACTTGAAAGATTCCCCGGAGCCCACTCAGGGAATAAGAGGGGTAGGCAAGAGAAACTGCATCACCCATCCCCTCTCCCCTCTGCCTTCCATCTGGATAGGCAACTTTATTAACTTCTTTTTGTTAACTTCTTCTACACTTACTACCAGCTCATGGTTAGCTTCGTTTGACCAAGTGTCACGCTGCACCCCACCCACCTACCCAACACACACTTGACAATCACTGGATCTTGGTTCTGCACATCCAAGAAATAACTGTAGCTGAAATATCCAAAATATCTTGTTATAAGGTAACCCACCTTCCCCTCCCCGCATGACGAGAGCGCGGGCCCCGTGGACTGCGGCTTTCACTGGGGCTGCAGACACTCAGCCACACCTTCTGGCAGAGCGACTTGGGGTAGGTGGTAGCCAGTCCACCTTCTGCTCCTCAACAGGTGTACGGAAAAAGGTACGACAAGGGTTTAGGCAATTTTTAGCAGCCACAATTCCAGTATGGTTATTCCAAAATAAAATTTCCGTGAAAACAATTTTAAATAAGAGCTGCATTTCACATTTTGAGAGTTTGACTCATAAAGTGCTAAAATATTAGTTTTAAAAAACTTCTTGCCATCTCAAGAAATAGGGTTTTAGAAAATTGTGTTTCAGCCCAAATTAAGCAACAGCTTTTAAAGTTGTTTGTTTTTTTTTCAAAAGGGATTTTAAAATCCCTTCAAATCTCTATTGAGAGAAAGATTTTTGTCTTCAGAGTGACAGACATTACCACCTGCCACTACCATAATGCGTCTATCCAATTTCTTGTTTCATCTGGCAGCAAGAAAAAATAACAACGAAAGCCTCACCCACTGTTGAGGGGCAATGCAAGGTGGCTCAGAAGCAGCTGTACCTGGTTCACATTTGTTACAGCACCGTCCCAGATGCTCATAATGCCGCTCACTGGTACATGGAGGAGCGATCTGCAGAGCCACCTGAAAAGAACACTGAGGTCAGGCAGAGAGTCCACACAGCCCTTTCTGGATAAAACTAGGTAAAACAAAAAGTGAATCACCACATTACTTTTTTTGTTGTTGTTGAGATGGAGTTTTGCTCTTGTTGCCCAGGCTGGAGTGCAATGGCGTGATCTCAGTTCACCACAACCTCTACCTCCCGGGTTCAAGCCATTCTCCTACTTTTGCCTCCTAAGTAGCTGAGAGTTGAGATTACAGGTTTTTTTTTTTGTTTGTTTTTTTGTTTTGTTTTGTTTTTTGTTTTAGACAGAGTCTTGCTCTATTGCCCAGGCTGGAGTGCAATGGCACAACCTCACCGCACTGCAACCTCTGCTTCCCAGGTTCAGGCAATTCTCCTGCCTCAGCCTCCCAAGTAGCTGGGACTATAGCCATGCACCAGCTAATCTTTGTATTTTTAGTAGAGATGGGGTTTCACCATGTCGGCCCCTTGAACTCCTGACCTCAGGTGATACACCTACCTCAGCCTCCCAAAGTGCTGGGATTACACATACCTTTTAACATGTTAAACACTCAGAGAATTTTAAAAAGCCGAGAAAGTAAGGTGTTGTAGGGGCTTCCTGGGCTCCGCCCTCACTACCTGTTGCCTGAAGGACTGCGGGAGCTGTTTAAGCTTCCTCAGCCTCTGGTTCCCTTCTGGTTCAAAAGGGTATGATTCTAAGACAAATACCAATTTCTGAATCCGCCCATCTGAGTAAAACAAAAGAAAACAAAGCAGCCCAGGCGCCTGTAATCACCCAGATTCTTATCAGTTTGCCACAGAAAAGCTCTTTTCCTGATCAGCATTCTTGGTGTGAGCAAAAAACAAACACTCCTGTTGAGAAGCAGTCATGTCAGAAACCGAAGAGTTGGGCTTAGCTGAACAGACATCTACGTATGCACGCCACACTTGAAATTCATGCAAGTTCCCTGCTGCATCCTCGAATACAGGGTCACAGACCTTCCCCTCAAGGGTTTTAGAATGGAATGAAACACATACCAGATGGGCCCTACCTCAGCAGTGGTGGCAAGGAAGCAGAAGCAGCCAGGAAGGCTTCCTAAGGGAGGTGGTAAGTAATCAGTCTTCCAAGATAAATAGAAATCAGCCAGACCAGGAAACAGAAACTGGCAGGTGGAGGTAGCGGGAGGAAGTAGGAAGACTTTGGACAATATGAACAGTTCGAACAGGGGCAATGAGGCCTGAAACAGCTCTTGGGTGGCAATAGGAGACCTTCAGTCCAGCTGGAGCCCAGTGTCACAAAGGCAGTCAGGGGAGGGCTTCATCTGCATATTAATGTGCTCGGATGGAGGGCACAGAGATAACATGGCTTGGAAGAAGCCATGCGTCCTCAAAATAGCTCCATTACAGAAGGCAGCTTTATGAAGAAAGCAGCAAACCCAGGAAAGCCCAGTGAGTGTGAGGCACACAGCTATCATGGACCTTTCTGACCTCACCCTGGCCAGCAAAGGGCTTTATGAGGAGTCTGAGGTCGATGAGAAGGTCCCAGTGTGTTATTGGGGTGATGTATGCCAGGAAGGCTGTACTTGGACTTGCTTCCTGGGCCCTGCTAACACTCCCCATGGACACCGGATAACACAATCGGATGCTCCCCATGTATTCACTGGGTGACAGAGTCTTAGGGAAGCTGCATTGAGCCCAGCGGACCGAGGAAGAATTGCTTAAAAGAAACCACCATACCTCTCCCTTCTGAGGTGTTTTTCGAGGTGTTTTTCTCTGTTTTAGATGCCACCCTTCTCTGTCTCCCTCTGTGTGCACTGTACGTGCAAAGAAAGAGGCAAAGTGGTAAAACTGATGCGGCCACGCAAACTGGGTCAAAAAGGTGGATTCATCCGAGCCTAAGGATTCGTGAACATTGTTGCAATGCTGATGACAAGGGCAAACAGGATAAATACGAAGTTGGACTATATTTCAGATGACAAAGGGTATTAATTGCTTCTGATCCCTTAAGGGGGCAGCCACAGACTCAGTAAAATGAGCACATACTTTGTGTTATAGACACAGAAAGGTACATACTTTGTGTTATAGACACAGAAAGGTACTTTTTAGGGGAATTTGGTAAATGGGATATCCCTGAAGTAGCTGCTTAGGGGCACTGTCAAGATGTCACAGGCTGTGTCCCGGGCTCCAAGCCCTGGTGCCTGTTGAGTATATCTGACCTGAACATGTAGACAATTCACTCCATGTTTAGGGGTATGGCTGTGATTCATTCAACCCACCGATCCTCCAACCCAGGAGCTTTGCACCTCTTCAAAGAAACAAGGAAGTCACTGCTTCCACAAATGACCAGCTGTCCTAACTTCTAATTGATTTTCAAAGATATAAAATCCATTCCTCTCTCCTAAGCTTCTACCTCACTATGACTTTTCACCTGAATGTGACTCTCCCCCCTCCAAAAAAAAAAATTGAGGTATAATTCACGGACCATAAAATTAAACCTTTTAAAGTATACTTACTGTTCAGTGGTTTTTAGCACTTTGGCAAGGTTGGACAACCATCACAGCTATCTAATTCCTGAAGATTTTCATGACCTCAAAACTGACGTGTCTACTTGACAGAGCTATAGGATTACAGATCTTTGAAGCAGCAGCAGAAATTTTGCTGCTGGGAAAATTGCTATGGTAAGGCAGAAAGATATGCTTTTAATTTCATTTAGGGTCCAGCTTAAGCAGAAACCTACTTTGTTCTCTAGTTACATGATATACTTCGAAGTATACCTTCAAACCTTCAATATGGCAATATACATACACCTTAAAAGGCAGCATAAGTACACATATTTAAGGGAATGTGGTTTGCAGGTAAAGAAATCTGGAAAACTAGATTGTTGGTTCATGCCGAAGACAAAGCATGCCTTTATTGTCCCTTTTCCTCTTCCTTTCTGGCTCTCTGCTTCCATCGTTCTTTCCCTCCACTTGCGGACCCTTTTCCTCCCCATACAGCCTGTAAAGCGTGCCCTGTGCTGGTCTCATTCTAATCTCATGCCCCAGTTCCAGCAACAAACCGCCTGGTGAGCGCTGTGCACTGCAGCCCCGTGCTTATAACTCTTAGGAAATCCAGTGCTTCTTTCACTCCAGCCTGTCTTGCTCTGCCAGGCACCTGAGGACCGACTGACTTGTCCCTCGATGCTGCAGGCCAGACTCCTGACACCCAGACTCTATCTTGAGTCCCACATGCTTGGGCTCAGTTTCCCATGAGACTGCCCTGGATCTGTTTCCTTATAGCAGTCTCCCTCTTCCTGGATGGCCTGTCAGGTTCATCCTCTGGGTGTCATTTGTGTGTGTGTGTGAATGAACAGGTGTCCCTGCCCTTCCCAGTCTGACCTCTCATTTTGCCTACAGTATTCTGGTTCTGATGTCTACCATTTCACCACTAACTGCCCTGCCAGCCAGCAGCTGGCAAGAGCCTGAAGATGGCTCCAGATCCTCTTGGCGGTGGCCCCTCTGGGCTTCTGCCTTTCCCTTCCATCTGCCCAGAACTTCAGCCAGACTCTATCCTCCAAGACCAAGCTCCCCACGGTTGCAAAGTGGTAGCTATTATTATTGGTAGCAGCCCTAGTAAAGCAATCATTTGATAAAAACATGTTCCTGCTTAAGTGTTCTTAAGGAGTCTCCTAGGGAATGGCGGAATTTGGGCATAAGGCCCCAGATCTTCAGTTAATAGAGTGATTTTGTCAGCCACTTACAGTTGCCTCTTTTCCCCCAAGATGCAGCAAGGAAAAGTCTTTGATGACTGAGTTGAGATGTACAGGCTTTTATTTACTGAGATTTTTCTAGTTCACCTTTAAGACTGATAGAGTCAAAGCTTCGGAATCGCAGTTGTCTTCATGAAGCAAATAAAGCATAAATACTTCAAAATTTTTATTTATTGCATAGGGAATATAGTCCCATGATACAAAATTCAAAACGAGCAACAGCTTGTTTAGGAAATTCTGTCCCACTCTCTCCCAGTCACTCTTCTCCATAGGTAACCCATGTTACCAGCCATTTTTTTGGGTGCATCCTTCTGGAGGTGAGAGGAGAATGAACTTGTGATCTAATCCAGGGCCTATTCTACATCACAGCAGTCTTAGGGGCTGGCTGGGATCAGGTTGCTCTTGTGTTTTGCGGAATATAATTTGACTTCTTAGAAGTCTTGTTTAGAAAAGCAGCCATGTATTGATAGAGTATAGTTCTTAATCAATAAGCTACAAATATTCTCTTTGGTCCACAGAATCTATATCAACTAACCTAATTCTGACAGAACTCACCAGAATTAATAAGGAACATTAGAGTTTGTTTATAGCAAATATTCTCTGCACATACAAATTCCCCCTACAAATTCTTTGCTAAATCTAAAAGAAGGAGTTAAAACAGCAAGATGATTTGACTTCTCTTGCTTCGCTCTCTTGTGTCTTTTTGTGTCTTCTACGCATTTGTTTCAGGACATACAGGCTGGTGTTTATCTTAACGGCTGATGGACTCTTCTAGAATAACCATGTCCACAGTCTGTGCAAGGCTTTGGGAGGGCGGAGGGAGATAATAAATTTGAAATTAAAAAATCCCTTTATAAAGCAATGTGGATTTATTTCCCAATGCAAAGCCATGTTGAGTCTAATTCTGAAAAACCATAAGCTAAAGAAACATAACATTTCTGCCAGTGGAGCCACAGAGACGAGCGGATCTGTATTTAGAATCCTGCAGGGAAGGTTGACTTAAATATTTATTTTCCATGCTGTTAACCCAATTGTCGTGCAAGTCATTATGGATACTAAAATTACTTTCTTGCTCCACTGAAAATTCATGCTGACATCGAACAATGCAGAAAGAGGCTTGGCCCCTCTTGTCAAATCGAGATGAAAAGAACGTAACCTAGAAGAACAAATGAGGGATTTTCCATAG